AAATGTACCGTTTCTTGTTGAGAGTTCCAACAGTTGATAGTCCATAAAGGTCAATGTGTAGAAGTTGCAATGGTTCTACAATTTTCGAATCTATCACAATTGGATGGCCTTTCCTGTGTTGTTTCCCTTGTTCACAAGCTGCACATAATGTATCATTGTCAAATTTTAGTACAGGTAAACCACGAACAAGATCATCAACAACCAATTTATTTAAGTTTCGAAAGTTTAAATGCGATAAACGTCGATGCCATAACCAGCTGATGTCAGAGGAAGCTTTCGAAAGTAAGCACACTGAGGGTTTGCCAATGATTGGTTTGATATCTAGAGTAAACATGTCACCATGTCGTTTGGATTTAAGCAAGACTTCATTAGTTTCAACATTTGAAATGATGCTACCTTCTTCGTTAAACACCACTTGATTGCCAGTGCCCACAACAAGTTGGGAAACACTTATCAAGTTATGTTGAAGACCTTCGACATAGGCAACGCGATTAACTGTGAATTTGCCAATCGTGACTTTACCATATCCTTTCACCTGGCATTTTTGATTATTGCCAAACTTCACAACTCCTGCATTCTTCAAGCTACGAAAAACTCTCAGGTTTTCCTTTCGTCCAGTCATGTGACGGGAGCAACCACTATCAATATACCATTTTTCATCATATTGCTCGTCACATAATACCTGCGATCAATGAAAGAATTTAGGTACCCAAGGCTGTTTGGGTCCTTGGAAATTAGTTTTAAACACCGAATGAAATGAAGAACTTTTAACCCAATCACAAACTTTGGTTTTGAGACTATCAATTAAGTCCACATCATTATTTAAAGAAACAAAAACATAAGTTTTAGTTAGTTTGGGATTGTCACTGACACACGCCTTCGTCTTTTTAGATTGAGTATGATCAAGCTTGTCTTTCGAAACCGGTTGCCAAGTTTTAACCGAAACATTCGAATCTTTTGATGACGAGCTTTCAGTTGACGAAGAATTCACATAATTCTCATAAGCTTCGTGAATTTGTTGTTGAGAATATTTCCTTGATTGATATTTTCGACATTTTCCTTCAAGCCAATGATTGATGTTTTTGTCACGAGACAACCCTTTTGTGTACGAAACTTTTAAATTTTGTTTTCCTATAGGATTTGGAAAATTCGGTTTTTGTGGAAAGAAATCAACATTTGATTTAGGTCGAAATGTCATAGCGTATCGACTTCCATCATTGTTCCCAACACTTCGATTCTGAGAAAATCGATTTGGAGATTTTTGTTTTTGAGAAAACCTTGTTTGTTGATTAGAAGAAAATCTTTGATGTGATGATTGATTTTGAACATTATTTGATGTATTTTTGTTATCTCTTGAAAATGATGAGTTTGAAACTTTCGAAAAATTTGTTTTTGGTTGAAATTCAGATTTAGATTTATTTGTGTGAGCGGGATTTTGCTTAAGATCTGAACAAATTCCTGAATGAGAAGACTTGTTTTCAACAAATTTAGTCTTTTTGTTTTCAGTTGTTTTCAAATTTAATCCATTTTGTTGTTTTCGAAGTTCCATTGTTTGCCAAAAAATCGTTTTTTGAGCTTGTCTTTTTGAAATTGCATTTTCTTTTGACAACTTGTCAATTTGTTCTTTAAATTCTTTGGAATTTAATTTGACAATAGTGTCTTTTTCCACAACAACTTCTGTTGGAACTTCTTTCACAATTTAATGATTTTTCAACCCATTTCCGTTGTGGTTTTGTCTTTGAAAAACATACGAATTCTTTGTTAAGTTATTTTCGACTGTGCTTTGATTCGAAAAGAATCCTTCATTCGTTGTCTTCTTGTTGTCATCTTCGACCATTTTGGTGAATTCTGGTTTAATGTTTTCAACATTTTCAGTTGTAACAAATACTTGATTTGGAAAGACAACATCATCAGTACACTTGAAATTAGGATACACCACTTGATTTGTTTCCAACTAATGGGCTCCTTTTTCAGACAACACTTTGTCGAAATTTTCAGTGTCCCCAAATACTTGATCAACAACAACATGAGGAATTTCTTTTTCTATCGAATCTTTGTTTGAAGAGACCTTTTTGTCCAATTCGTCATCATCATCCACATCATCACTACTATCCGTTTGACTATCTCGCATATCCACAAACTCAGAATCACAATCTTTTGAAGTTGAAGGTTTGTCGGTGTCAATCTTAACTTCCAAATCCTTAAGTTTTTCTTTTCCTTTAGATTTTGATGCAACATTAATGACAGACAACTGAGAACAATCAACATCCTCAATATCACTAATTTCGCTAATATTGTCAGAGTTATCTTCAATATCGGCAAAATTAGATTGAGAATCAGATGTCGAATTCTCAGTCTTTTTCAAAATTTTGATTTGTTCTGATTTTGTCAAAGTATCATTCACAATGTTAACCAATTCATTTGTATCAAGACATTCATCAATTTTGACAATTCCATAAGCATATCTATCATCAGGAATTTTGTCAAACTCAGCAATGTTTTTCTCACAATCATACGAAATATTATCTACCTTTGCTCTTTCGTATGCTAGAAAAGGTAATAACTTCCTATGTTGTTCCTTGCTAATATCACATGAATGATGCAGTGCAGTTAATTTCGCGTATAAACGTTTAGCAGAATTGCAATAGATATTTCGTTGAGAAAGGAAAAGTTTTACATCACTAGATAGAGAATCACGATCACACATTATGTTTGTTATTTGCAATTCTAAACATTCTATCTTGACTACTTTCGAATCTAGCTGCTTCTGTGTCTCTAACAACTGATTGCTTAATTTCTTAGCTTCATTGCTAGCAGAAACAACCAAATTATCGAAATAAGCAACAGTATCATCAAAAGCAACAATTTCAGAATCATATGCACTTTAAGGAATATTGAAAGATTGGAGAATGTTACGTACCTTTGTTGTCATTGGTGACTTATCAGCAGATTTCGACACAAAACAACGACCCTTGACCTATTCGTCTGAATCCTCCTCCATTTTCGCATACATTGCCCCATGCGTAGGATTACGCATTTCCTCATCATCAGAGCCAGACGACCAACTTTGATATGTGCCATCGTCTTCTTGTTCACCTTGAGCCACCAAAGATAGATTTTTCGCCTTCGCACGTACCTTTTCCAACCTCTCCACATAATATGCCTCATCTTTCACTCTATTTTTCTTCTCATCTTTCTTTGGAAGCATACAATCATTTGCTAAATGATTGGCTCCATTGCAATAGTGACAAACTATACCAGAATCTCCTTTCAATTTCTTTTCTTTCTTTTCTTCAGCACCTTTCGCATCATTCTTCTCATACTTCTTCTTCTCTTCTCCTGCAGCTTTGTTCACGAAACTTCGTTTTCCATCACTTTGCTGCACCTTCGAATTAAACGATTTCTTGAAAAACTTTTTGACTCGGTTGTTAGAGTAAAAAGCAACTGCCTCATCATCCGAATTCATTATAAACCCCTCTTCATCATCAGAATCATCTTTTTCGACAGTTTCCTTTTCGGTCACTTTTGAGACAAGTGCTAATGAAACCTCCCAGACTGATCTTCGACTCTTCTTCCATTTCATTCACTTCACTTTCGTGAGTTTTCAGTTGATTATACAAATCATTCAAAGAAGATGTGTCGAAACTTTGTTGATTTTTCACCATCATGCTAACGCTTCTCCATTCTTTACGGAGTCCCATAACAAAGGAGAGATTGAATTCCATGGCAGACCTTGTGATTCCATAACGATTGCATTTGTATATCAGCTCATTCAGCCTATAATAGTAACTTTCAATCGTTTCACCATCTTTTTGCTTGAAATCCTTCAATTCAATCAAACATTGCTTAACTGAATTGATTTTCGTCTTCTCGCTGCCTTGAAACTTTTCTTTGAGATTATTCCAGATTTCCTTTGCAGTTGTACAACTTTTGACATAGTTATACACCACTGGAGGCAATGCACCACGCAACTCCCTTATGCATCGTTTTTCAAGTTTCTTCATACGATCATTTTGATTTTCCACACTCGTAGTACTGGATGAAGATCCAATTGGTTGAAGGTCCGTTGGAAGAGTAACATTCCCTGAGATGCAAGTCCAAAGCTCTTCATCGATTCCATTCAAGTAATCCTGCATACGATCAGACCACTGATCGTAGTATTCCGGAATGAGCATATGAATCTTAGTTGAAGATCCTAAGAGATGAGAGTAAGAAGTCATCGAATTGAGATTGAATTTCGCCATTGAAGTACGGAAGAAATTTTTTGAGAATTTATGAGAAATCAAAGAGAATTTGAGAGCAAATCGCTGAATTGAAAAGAAAAACAAAGTAGAATACTCGATTCAACGAATCTGTTGCAGAATCGAATCACAACTTAAGATCTAGAAAACTTTTTCACGTCAAAAGATGCGGAACTTTTTTAATTAGAATTTTGATTCAAAAACCTTTTGAAACAGAATGAAAATTAGATCTCAGATCATGATTCCTGCTCTGATACAAATTGTGGAATCGTGGAATCAAGTATTAATCAAAATCAGAGTAGAATGAATGCAAATTGAACACAAGATGTAAATAAGATCTGGTTTCTGCTCATTTATGCTTTCAGCTTTTACAGAGAAAATAGATAGATTTTGTAAAGACTCTTATCCAACTCTAGTAAAGTTCCCTATTTAGAGGAACAATGAAAGCATACAAAAAATACTAAGGCATTGACACTTAAGCTTTGTACGAAATACACCTTAGTAAATAAAATTACAAAACATACGAAGGGTAAAACAAACTTCGACATATTACAATATATTTCGACCCTAACAATTGGTGATATGAGTTTTCATTGTCTATTCCACCGAAAGAGCCAGTCAATGAAGTTGTGATTACTCCAACTGATACTGAGACTGAAATAAATATTTTCAGGCAACCGAATATTCCAACACCCGAACAGATGGATGCACTTATCAAATAACTACAGTCTACTACAAGGAAGCCTCCCCAAGTAGTTTATGTTACTGTTAAATCTCCATCTGAGAGTGATAAAGATGAATCAAATGCCTCCATGGTGCCAAAGAAGCGAAGACGGAAAGATCCAAGGCCGGGAGTGCTTATTACTGAGCCAGTACAATAATCAGTTTCTATAGTTAAACCATCCCAGGTTCTAGCAGATGTTCAAAGCCCAATCATTGAACCAACCCAGGTTCAAGAAGATGTTCAAAGCCCAATCATTGAACCAGCCCCGATCCAAGAAGATGTTCAAGGTCAAATTTTTGAATCAGCACAGGTTCATCAAGACGCTCAGAGCCCCAATTTTGACGATGAATTTAATTTTGTAGCAAATGAGGAAACCTTTGCTTCAGGAAGTTCTTCTGCTCGACCACCTCCAGAGCACGATGTTGCATCCATTAACCTGGCCAAGATTCTTGCTTTTCAAGACTCCATTCCTCAGTTGAGAGGAAAGGGTATATGTATTGGTTCTGGACAAGGAGGTGATGAGGAATCACAACACACTATCTCTGAGCTTAGACAAGAGATACTGATTTTGAAGCAGGAATCCATTGAAAAGGATCTACTAATCGGCAAGTTGGATATGTGAGAGTTTCGGACCTAGAAAAGGAAAATTCTCAAAAGAATAAACAGATCTTAGAACTCCAAGCTAATCTTGGTGGACTAACAACTTTCTACTTTGATCTCAAAGACAAACTGATTGGAAAGTTTGGTGATGAGTTCAAGTCATCTAATTCTGAGAGTGGAAAAGCACCTGAGACTTCTGAGAGGGTGGTGGTTAGACCTGCCCCAGATTCCAACATTGATCAATATTTATCTTCTGGTCCTGCTACAGCTGAAGAGATAAGGGAGAAACAAAAGAAAGTAAGCGTGTTGAAGAAAGATAAAATGCTTCTGATGAAGAATTCTGATCAGAATGCAACTGGTGATCAACCTCAGATGTTCATCAAAGAAGTTGGGAAAAGAAAATTTGCTGACAAATATCGAGATCATTCAGGTATCCGTATGTGGGGATTTGAAGCTGACAAGAACGTGTGGGTTGTGAAACGGATGAGCGGAAATATTGAATATTATGAGAAGAAGGTTGATTTTTTATCTTGGACTAAGGTAGATCTTGCAAAGCTAGTCCATGCTCCCTTTCACAATCCTACAAATGATACTAATGCCTGGGTTTCTAAAAACTTTCTAGAAGACAAATCAAGGCATAACTTTGCAGGCGTGTTGACAACATCCTCATTCGTTAGAAAGGTCAAAGGTGTTATCGATCCGCACACCAATAAAACCATGGTAAACGTTATGTGGCCACCTACAAAGAAAACGAAAAAGATTCCTCTCTCTCAGCCTATACCTGATGGTTCTCTAAATGATCTTCACCACTGGGTATATGATGAGGCAACAATAATAGTGGTGATCAAGACTGAAAAGGATCAGTTCCGTCTTGTTAATCCTAGGGATTTGCTAAGACTTAGTAAGCGTGATATTCACACTTTATCCAGGAATCAGCTCATGGTGCAAAATGAAATGTTCGAGACTGCTGCAAAAGAATTTACCAGCATGATTGCAAAGATTATTGATCAGAAGTTGTGGGCGAGAGCTTTAGCTGGTTCTGACGTTCATCTTGTGGAGAAACCATAAAGTTAGCCAGCAATAAACCAACGGGGAGATTGTTGGGTCATATTTTTGTGGTTTATGTTGGGCTTTTATTGTTAATTGTTCTTGGGCTTAGAATAGTATTTTATTATTGGGTTTATTATGTTTTCGGTTGTAAGGACCGAAATCACTATGGTGATTTCGGTCATGATGGGCTTGGGCCTTTTTGTGGTGTTTGTATTTGGCACGTATATATTTAGTTGTATATAACCGTATAGAAGTTAGTTGTTCCATTCTTAGTATTCGGCTGCATTGAGTTCATATGTACCAGACGGTTTATTCCTAATAGAATCGTGTGCATTTGAAGTGAATTTGTGTGTTCTTGAACCATTGCTCAATTAACATTCCGCATTCTTTAAGCAATTAAGATTGATATTGCATAAGATTCATAGTTTTGGGACTTACACAGGTGCAGACACTGGAGGGTCCCGGGGAAGAGACCCAAGATTCTGACCAGCACATGAAAGGCCAGCAGGGCCAGAATTTTTGCAGCATGTGAGGGAAACTGCATGAGGGGGCTTGTCGCTCCAGAGGTTTGCGTTGCCACAAGTGTGGCAGGTTTGGTCATGATAGCAGGGTTTGCCCTCCGAGGGCAAGCCCGTTATGTTTCCTCTGCAACCAGGTGGGCCACAAGAAGGCCGGCTGTCCGATGTTGAGTGGAGAAGCAGTGAGTGTGCCTGCTACGGCCACTTTAAGGATCACCGATGGATGAGAGGGTAGGACAGGATACCAATCAGAGAGGAGTCGGGCTTTGCAGTGTCAGACAGGGGAGGCCAGGACTCCAGCAAGCGACATTGCGGGGACGTTATCTGTTGTTCTCTTCATGGTTTTATCAGTATGAAGTGTTTAATTCTATTTGCATACCGTGAGTCGTTAGTGGATTAGCAAGGGTTCGTATCTTTTATAAGCAAGTTCCAAGTGTCCAGATGTTATTTCGGGTCAAGGTCGAGATCGGCTCCGGGGTATTGCGTGAGAGGCTTGTGGTTAATTCATCGGGATAGCTCCCCTATATCGTTGGGGTATAGTGGTTTCATCATCTGTTTGGGTACGGTTGGTGGTGGCCTGTGGGAGAGCTTCTGGGTTCTAGCACTACCGTCGCTAGGAGAGGAGCGGTAGCAGAAAGATAATGGGTGTTGGACACATAGGTTTTTGGCCATTGGGTGTTTCAAGAGAAGTGTATTTTCACATGGGTTGTTTTCGGTTAGAGTTTTGTCGTGCTGCAAGAATGGAAGAAGGAACGAGGGTTCATCAGCCAGGGTAAAGATTAAGGCCTCCAGTTGCCAGCATGGGAGGTGGATTGAGGTATCGGACTGGACTAGATTTCAAGAGTACTCTTCAAGATATCAGAGGATGGGAGATCTAAGGGTTTGACTGGTAATTGATCGCTAGCATTGGTAAGCACAGGTTGTCAATGGTGGATTACTAAAAAAAGCAAAAAGGATTGGGAATCCTTCAATTCTCACATGCCGTGGAGACTTAGTCAAATCTAAGTGGGGGAGAATCGATCAGGTACTCAGGAGAAGAAATAGGTATAATTCTAGGATGAGTTGCATCCCTGTCAGGGAGGAAGGCGGTCGAGTGGCCGTCTAGCTTGAGGATTGTGTGAGTTGGGAGTTCGGAAGATGTTCCAACATTTTGTTCACGTTTTTCCTTGGCATCAGATAGCAGGTTTTGGGGACCAGGTTAGAGCTCCAGTTAGGACTCAGGTTTAGTTGAGTGTTAGGTCGAGTGCGTGTTCGACCCAGGATGGATATATTTGGATTGGTGGTAGGACCTTGGTGGGCATATAGTGTTAGAGTGTTGTAAGTCTGTTGGTTTAGCCGTAGCATTCATAAGGTTGGCAGATAGTGCTAAAGTGTTGAAATTATGTAGGTGTAGTCCTAGCATTCACAAGGTTAGTAGATAGTGCTAAAGTGTTGTAAGTCTGTGGGTGTAGCCGTAGCATTCACAAGGCTGGAAGATAGTGATAGAGTGTTGTAAGTCTATGGGTGTAGCCGTAGCATTCACAAGGTTAGCAGATAGTGCTAGAGTGTTGTAAGACTGCGGGTGTAGCTGTAACATTCACTAGTTTGGTAGATAGCATGGGAGTGTTGTTAGATCGCAGAAGGAACAATAGTATCCACCAGTTCAGGTGCAGCAGTGAGGTCATGGAAATCCATGGATTGGGTTACGGAATTACCCAAATGGGTTAGGTCTGGTTGATCCAGTGATAGGACCGTGGGAACACCATGACAGTCATGGCATCAAGGAAGCGATGGGTCGCATAAGGTCGTTTGTGATATAATACTATCCTTAGTCATGTTGCATTCACTTTTAGCTTTGGGTTTGGTAACATGAGGATTCGACGTATGGACCCAATCGGTTGGATCAGGAGGTCGTTAGAGCCACAGTGGCAAGATAATCAGTGTCGACTATTGTCAGACGAGGATATCGTTCGGAAGTCGTGTGGGGTGACTTTTTGGGAATCTTTTGGCTCAGCAACCGGGCCGGAACCCGGTATTTCAGATAACTGGAAAATGAACTGAGACCAGGAAGGTCTCGGTGGATTTTGGAAAGCAGCCAGAAGGCAGCATATTGTTTCAGGCAGTTCAGTGTTACGGGCATTTCAATGCTTCGGGCAGTTTCAGTGTCTCAAGCGGAATGGTGTTTTAGGATTTCATATACGGACGGAGTGACTGATTGATTGGGGAGTGATGAGTCACTCGCAGTGGGATTAAATAATCTCAGAGTAGTTGATTTAACCTTGTTGCGTAGCTCTCGTATGAGTCTAACCGTTGTAGGGATGAATCTTCTACTCGAACGATCTGAGCCTTCTGTCAGGTAGAAGTGTTATGTAGCCATTTATGGTCAGTGACTTTGTTTCCTTCTTCAACAGCAACGTGATAGGTGACAGTTTGGTGTGAGGGGTCTGACAGGGAGCCAGACCACTGAGACTTTAGGGTTCGGATTTCAGGTAAAGTAGGATTGGTTTTATTTGAGAGATCGTGGAGTCGTTCTTCACCGAGCTTGAAGAATTACTCTAAGGATGGTTTTAGTAGATCGGGATAGGCCGATATATGAACACAGTTGGAAGGGTTATGATCATTTTGCTATCTGTTGAGAGATTGACGGAGAGTTGTTTCAGCACGGGCGAGCTGTTAGGGAAGCCTAGTTATGGTAGATTTCAGGTTTCAGAAGGTGGAAGTGGCTTGCAAGGGTTGAAGGTTCGGGTGTTATTTCCAGGATAGAAGTTTCGGTTGCCTAGGGAATGTCGTTGATTGTGTGGGGTGATGGTTGTACCCTTAAGATGGCGGGTGTTAGTACTCGTAGGAAACATCAGTTGGTTCATGGAAAATAGTGGGAGTCGCAGGCTTAGCGCGTGAGCTGTTTTCAGGGTAGGTGATGGTCGTGGACTTCGAGGACGAAGTCTAGTTTAAGTGGGGGAGATTTGTAACACCCGGAAGGGGTAGGGCAGCACCCAGATATGATAGGCGGTTACCGGTTGAAAGAGACCGAAGGGGTAGGTCGGGTACCCGGATATGCCTGACAGTATGTTATTTGTATGGTATGTGGTATGATGGGGGAACTCACTAATTCATGCTTACGGTTTACAGTTTTGGTTTCATGTACTCATTCCTCGAAAGGAAAGGAGTCGGCATGATCGCAACGCATCACACTATGATTTCCGCATTATGAGATCTTTGGGAGTTGTACTCTGATAATATTTTATATGACATGTTTTTGAGATATATGACTTATGGGTTTTTATGATGAGATAACAATGATGATGTTTTCAGTAATCTGTTTTATAAGTTAAATAAATTAAAAATGAAATTTTTGGTCTTGAATTTTTGGATGTTACATGGTGGTTTAATGATGAACATAATCCATATTATGATAATGATTCTTGTGTTAATGGTGTGGAAAATGGTGAAAACATAGATAATGTTAGGGACGGTA